AAGAAGAACTGGGAGTGTCAATTTTATATATTGGATGTTGGACTTGATTTGGAGCCTTTCTAAGTCCTTCAAGAACTATTCTCTCATTATGGGCGTTTTCATAATCAGATTGAGGAATGGAGGAGGTTGAGGTTCTAGGTGGGTTTTTAGGAAGTGTATTTGAAATACTGAGCCTAGTCCTTCTAGAGGATGGGAATTGTATTTCTATCTTTCCATCCGGATATTTAATTATTTGTTTACGTTCTCTATTTCCAGGGATCTTGGTCTGAGTCTCAGACTGGAGAGACCATTTTTCTGGTAATTTAATATGTTTCCAAGATACAGACTTTGGTATGACTAAATTAGATTTACCCATATTAGTCTGAAAGAAATAGTCTGTCCCTTAGTATCCATGCCTAGCATTAGGGTATAAAGTGTTCATTACTTTATAACATATCCTATAAACAAAAGCTAAATTTTGAGATCCAGGATCCATATCAAAACCTTGAGTTTTAATGTTTAAAGTTAGAACTTTTAATAGATTAGGATTTGATAAGGCTACAGAAAAATTTTAAAAACAGTTAAAATATATAGGTCCATTACAAAGGGTTGACTCGACAATTCCTAATAAAGAATCTGTATCTATGTTTGTTTTCCCTTAAGCAAAGCAAAACAAAGTTGCTTAACCCTGTCCTTTTTAAGGGTTTAACGACTATTTGGAAAAGACCAATATGTAGGTAGTTGAAGTCTTTCTTTTTATGTTTTTCAACCATCCTCGATGATAGGAGTTGGAAACTATCCTGAGTTTCCATGATATAAATAGTTTTTTCAATAGTTTTAATTGAAAAACTACTTCTAAAATCAAAAGTCCCCTTTTTATAAACATCTATTGTAGGTACTTTTGGGATGTTCTGACTTTGGATTTATTTTTCAATATTATTGATAATAATTTGTTCTTTATTATTAACACATAGTGTACTGGTAGAAGTAGTTCTATTCGATAATGTTCTGAATAAATTTACCAGTTTTATTTTTTTCTTAATCTGAGTCAACTGGAAACAGTCCCTACACCTTTTCTGCCCTTCTAGCTTGACGGTGATCTTTGAGTCACAGTGACTTTAGGTTTTTGATAAAAATCTAAATATGCAAAGTTTTTCAGTTCACCACTAAATATAACCAGGCTCTGATACCATAACAGCGACCTACTTTTTAACCAGTTAGGGAATTCCATGAGTTCAGTTATTTTAAACTGTACATACCAATTATGCGAAGTTTTGGTATTTTGGTAGGCAAAGGCTTCATCCCAAGCCTTGATATATTGTCAAAAGTAGAGCTTAAAAGAATTCTACTAATCAGCTCCTGAATCAATAAGGGTCGTAGTTTGGAAAGTGTATTCTTTTTGCACAACGATTTTGACAATAGTAAACCATCTTTGAGTTATGACTTTGTCCAACAAATTAATATATTCATAGTTTTAAATTTTCTTTAACATATTACATTTGGTCAAGTTTTCAGGGTCATCATTTTCCAAAACTCTTGGCATAGTGTCTTCAATTTCAGGAGGTAGAAGATTATGGCTATAATCTTTTATCAAGTTATTGAATTCTTCTTCAGTATTTTCATCATTGTTACCTTCTTTTCTAAAAGTAGTATCAACCATTTCTAGGATTTGTACTCTATTTTTTAAATTTATTATTAAAATTTATTAGTTCTTTGCGAACTTGATTTAGTTCACTTTTTAGCTCGGGAATCGAAAGTTTCCTATTAGTTTGAGTTTTGTTTTGAACTCTTTTAAGAATGTCGTAAAAACTATAATTTTTTCTTGAAGGTATGAGAGAAGGTTTAGGAGTAGTGGGTCTATAAGGCCCTTTAGCCATGTTGATATATTGCATTAAGGCTTCTTTTTTAGCCTCAGGGTCATTAATTTTATCAATAAGTTCTATGATAAGATTTTCATTTTTTGTCAAAGTATTTATATTTAAACCATTCATATCAATGATGGCCTTTAAAAAATTAGATTGCCAGTTATCTTCAGGAGCATTCTTGAGGTCTGAATCAAAGTTCGAGCTAGTAAAGATCAAATCCTCATCATTAATTTCTCCAATTAATATTTCATTATCAGAGTTATAGAAGATTCATTCGAGTCATCTCTTTATATTAATAGAATATCAAATATTATTTTTTGATATCTAGGTCTATTTCGAGTGCATTAATTTTCTTTACATCTTAATTCTGCTATCATATATATATATATATATATGAAAAAGTTTATATAAGGTTGCAACCTTAAAATGTAAAATTATATATGCACCTCAAAAATCCATCGAAAAAGGTTATTTTGAAGTTGAAAAACCTTCAAATTGATCATCCTAAGAATATTTTTCACCAAAATTGTATATTATGATAAAACTTAGAGTTATGCCTTAATTGGATTCTTTAAGGTTGCAACCTTATAGAAACCACACCCATATAAGAGGCACCTTTAAAAAGTAGTGAAATATGTCCTTTTAGTACCAAATATGTTTCTGAAGAGCTGAGAATTTATTGTCATCTCCAATTACAATATTTAAAGCTTAAAAAATAGTGTAGATCAAGCCTATCTATTTACAGTTGAAACTCTTCAAAACTGACGATCTCGATAATGCATTATAAGATGCACTATTTCTAAGACTTGAAGTCTAGTTTTTTTTAACATCTCTATATCTCAAGGTCGAGATGATCAAATTTGAGGTTCGACATTGAAACAACTTCTTCTAGTAAATTTTTGAGGTGCATCTTGACTTGATGGTTGCGGTCTACAAAGGGTGAGGACCTCAAAATTTCCCTTAACCCATCCCATGCCTGAGCAAAGGGGCTGGGTTGTATTAGGTAGGTAGTCAATATAAAACTTTGTCAAAACTTATCATGAATCCTAAACCCATGATGATGATCTTAGTTTGATTGTTTAGGTCTTCAACCTTATATAAACTTTTTCCATATATGTGTGTTTGTATGCACGCGTGCACATGCATATATATATTGAGTCAGGTCGACCTGGACCCAAACCCGGATCGGATCAACTCAACCTGATTGCCACCCCTTAATAAAGTTGGGCCAAGGGGCGGTATCTATAGCTCTCCCCCCCCAACCCAAACCAAAAAAAAATAAAAAAAATAAACATAGAGAAGTTGGTTCATTCCTTAGAGGGTCAAGCATCTAATGGACCTTCCCACCCTTATGCCGGCGGGGTTATTTGGGTAACAAAAATATTGATCCAAAAAACAGAAAAAAGCTGATCAAGAGTAATTTACTCATGGGACTCTAAACAATTAAATTTGATCCTACCTCAAAATTTTCACTACAAGAGGTTGTTTAGATGCCCAAATATTTTCAAATTAATCATCTCGACATTAAGATGCATGGACATGAGAAAAAAAATGGATTTCAAGTTTTAGAAATAATATATTTTTGTAACACTTTGGATTGACAATTTTCAAGATTTCATAGATCTATCGATTTACACTATTTTTAAAGCTTTAAATTTTATAAATAAATATAAAAATATATTTTAAGGCTATCACAAAGATTTCTAGTATTGAAACCATATTTCTTGACACTATTTGAAGATTGGCTCTAATTTGATTGTTTAGAGCCTAGGCACTATACAAACCGCACCCTTTACTCATATGTCCTCTCAAAGTACCGCTAGTAAAAAACTGAAAAAAGTTTATAAAAAGTGTTAACTTTGTATGTTACAAAGTAAGGTGCGCCTGGAAAATCACCCAAAAAGGTTGTCTCATTGTTCAAAAACTCTACAAATGATAATCGTGACCTTGATATATATATATATATATATATATATATATATAT